AGAGGCACGCGTTACGCAAGAGAGGCGCAGCAGCCCGCGCGGGTGCGGAGACGGCGGGCCAGGACGAAGCCCCCGCCACTTCGGAGAGGCCGACAGATGGACCTGTTAGGCGTCAAAATACGGCCGAAGACGGCGTTACCACACAACCGCATCAAACGAATATCTTGATGGCGGGTGGCGTGCCGTCACGCGCGGCCGGAATCAGCCTGGCTGGAGAGAGACGGCAGGCTATTCCCCGGACGTCTCAGGGCAATTTTGGGAGACCACATTTCCACCCCTCCATGCCTTTGCCTCCCCGCAACTTCTCCTTGGACGCCCATTCCGGTTCACCTACGGAAGAGGAGCGAAAGTTTCTCCCATTCGACGTTGCCACGTGGCCCCCGCGTGTTTGGAATAAGGGCATTTCCGGAGTCGTTTTCGACCTCCAGTGCGCATACCAATGCTGGCACCAGGACGAAGAGCAGGTTAAACTTGCCTTTGACAATTTGGTCGAGTGGATCGGCGTGCTGGAAGGCTGGCGGGATCCCACCGATCGCTTTATGAATTTGGGCAGGTCCCTGCTGAATACATTCCGGATGCAGCTCACGATTGCATCCGATCCCGGCACCCCGCTCTCCACACTGCGCGCCCGTCTTCACACCGCTGTTAATAAGGCCGACACCTTCGCGAGGGGAACCCAGCCTCTCGTGGGACGGCAAGTTACGCAACGATCGGTGCGCCGCCCGTTGTGTCATACTTATCGACACGACGCATCTACATGCAACGCGCGAGGGGCGGCCAGAAAAAACCATTCCCTGGCTCAGCCGGCCTCCTCAACGTGGTGCCAGGGTCGAGTACTCTTTGCCAGAGAGGAAGCTAAGCGCCTGCTGCCCATCCGCTGCACGCGGAGAGGCAGGAGGCGCCGCACAAACGGGTTGGAAGGGCACCAGATGGAGCCATTTACATGGCTGCCCGCGGAGCGGTGTTTCTATCCGCTGCTGAATTCCATCGGCGCTTATCAGCGCTATACATACTGTTTGCGTGCCGTATGTGACGCGCAACGACAAAAGCTACTGCTAAGCGGAGACATTGAGCAGAACCCAGGCCCCATAGCAGTACTCCAGATGAACGTTTCTTGCCTCACGCCGTCAAAACTCGCAACATTAATGGCGCAAGGAGCAGACATAATAGCCATCCAGGAAACTTGGAAGTCGTCGCAGCAGATCGCCAGCATGCATGCTGGAGATTATGTGCTCTATGCACAGTCGCGCATCGGCAAGGGAGGCGGTGTGGCGGTGCTGGTGCGGAAAACTCTCCGCTCCAAGCGTATACCCCTCACCATCCCCCAGCATGACACCAGCCTTGAAGTGGTGGTGGCCCAGGTTGCTCTGGACCAGAACCGTGATCTTATTGTAGCGAGTGCCTATATGAGACCACCACCGCAAGTAACGCAATCCTTCAGGCGGTTAGTAAACTGCCTTCCAGCCTCGTCGCCGCTCCTGCTGTGCGGGGATTTCAAAATGCATCACCCACAGTGGGAGCCATTCTTGGAGTCTTCTCCAAGCGAGGTTGCTGCAGATTTTTTAGAACTGTGCACGGATGCGGGACTCACCTTGGTTAACACCCCTGGTGAGATCGCGTATGCCCGTGGTACAAGAGAACGATCCTGTATCGATCTGACATGGTCAAAGCATTTGACTGTGTCAATTTGGTCAGCTTCTGTGTCGCCGCTTAGTGATCATTATATGCTAACATTTACGCTGCATCAGGCATTTAAGGATACCATACCTTCGGCACCTATGATATTCTACAGTTGGGGGAAGTGTAAATGGGATTTATTTGTCAAGGACTTCGACGCACAACTTCCGGTATACGACTATAAAAAGCGGTCCACCGGCATTAAAGCTTTCACGAGAGCGCTTATTACTTCGTATCGACGACATTGCCCCCGCGGCATGCACAAAGATGGTCCCAGGCTTTGGGACGACACTCTCATGGAGGCAGAGCGGATTGCTACCGACAGCAAGGCCCGCTATCTACAGTTACCGACGCCCGACCGTGAGGCAGAAATGCAACGGACAAGGAGTCAATTCTTCCTCCTACTTCGAGAGCGCTTGCGTAACACGTATCTACGTCGCATCAGCAAGTTAAATCCAGGCGAACCACTCGCATGGAAATACATTTCCGGACGAAAAAAGGCATCACTTCCATCTCCCACATCATTGTTGTTGGGAGATGGTCAACACACTTACAAAACAGCAAGGAGAGCAGCGAATGCTCTCAATCGCATCTTTTTTCCACGCCACCCCTCTCACAAGGCAGTAAGGTTTTCCAAAGGCATCAAAAGACAGAACACATCTTTGGGCATTACTTCTTCTTCTCTTTTTAGGAAGCAGAACAACAACGAGTCTGCCGCTACATCTAATTCAGTTTTTTCATTCTCATCTAATTCAGAGCCACAGGATAACAGCGAAGCTGCCACCACATCTGGTTTAGTTGCTCATCTTCACTCCCCTCTTGATGCACCTTTTAATCGTACGGAACTGCTTGCTGCGCTACGTAAAACGCCGTATGGCAAGGCCCCCGGACCGGATAAAGCCTACAGTGAGGCGCTGCGACATATTTCGTCAAAGGGTCTTCGATTTCTTCTTCGTTGCATTAACCACAGCTGGACGACAGGTACGATCCCGGCTGAGTGGAGACGCGCTACCATCGTCCCACTCTTAAAACCCGGTAAGTCGCCGGAACTGCTTGAGTCGTATCGACCCATCAGCCTTACTTCCATTGTGAGTAAGGTTGCTGAGAAAATGGTACTGAAGAGATTGCTTTGGGTGTGGACGCCACACCCCCACCAGTATGCATATCGTAGTGTGCGTACTACGACGATGCAGCTGGCACATCTGAGACACGAAGTGGAGCATAATAGAAATCATTATTTCCAAGTGAATCTTCCCAAGAAGAGCGGTATTGGTAATCAACTCCACTACAGACCCCATCGGACTCTGCTGGCGTTGGTTGAT